CTTTTTGTCTCCCAGAAAGCCGATGGCCATTGACCATCAGGCTAGGCTTAAGGCGTCCCACCCCCAAGGGCATACTTCCATTGTGACATTCTGCCAAGATGTAGAAATGATCAGTTTATAGGCCTGTCTGTAAAAACAGGCTCTCAGGTCCTCAGAATGCAAGGGCTCTATCTCACCTCTGCAGTTCGTAGCACCTAGTACAATGTCTGGTCTATGGAAAGTGCTCAGACATCTGAAAGCTGAAATTCCTCAAAGTTCAGCCCTTGGTCCCTGCCTTTTTCTCTGCTCACTTGCTTGGTGGCCTTGAACAGCCTTGTGGCTTTACTATAACCTCTATGTCAAAAACCCCTGAAGTTTTCTCCCCATCCCAGGCTTCTTTCCCAAATTCCAGACTCACAGGCCCAAATATTTACTTTCTACCTCTGTGAAGATGCCTAGTAGATTAAACTCAGTTCAAAATGAAACTAACAATTGCTCCACTGCCCACATGTCTTCTCGACCAGCAGCTTCCCCATCTCCATCGGTGGAAACTCCGTCTTTCCAGGGGCTCAGGTAACAATAACCTTAGAGTCACCCTTGATTCCCCTCTCCCTCTCACATGCCGCATGTAATGTGTTAGAAAATTGCAATGGCTCTAGGTTGGAAATATATTTAGAATCCAACCACTTCTCACCACCTCCACTGTCACACCCTGGCTTGTGTCACTGCTGTATCTCACCTGGGTTTTGGCTGTAGCCTCTCAGCTGGTGCTCCTGCTTTTATTCTTGTCTCCCTATATCTATTCTCAACATAGTAGCTAAATGAGTCTTTCAAACCAATGTCAGATAATTATCAGCTGTCTTCTCAAAACTCTATAGTGGCTGCCCATTTCATTCAGAGTAAAAGCCAAAGTCCTTATAATGGGTTAGATGGCTCCTCTTTATCATCAGCTCCCCTTTATTTCTCCAACAGCATCTTCTATTAGTTTCACTCTTTGTTCATTTACTCATGACAACCTTGGCCTTGATCTGGAACTCTCTTCCATCAAACATATTCCATCAGGTCTCTGCTCTAAAGTCATCTTCTAGTTAAGAACTACGCTTCTCCCCTATTTGATATTGCAGGCTGCTCCTTCACCCTATGCCCCTGGAATATACCATCTCCCTTCCTTGCTGTACTCTTCCCCCCCGCCCCCCACTACATACTTGTATAAGACTGCATCATCCAAAGATTGTATTTTCCAACACCTCCAGTCCTGCACTCTCTCTTAGAATCTTGCAATGATTCCACTCTCCATCAAGAGGAAGACTAATTCCCCTTCCCCGGAACACAGGTGGTTATTACTGGCTTATAACCAACAGCATGTGGTAGGAGTGATGCTGTGATGTCCAAGTCTAGGTCACATAGGGTGATGTACTTTCTATCCTCACCTTTGGAGCCATGAGCTACTATGTAGTAAGTCCAACGTTCCTGAGGCCACCATGCCTTGAGGAAGCCAGTGCCCTTGAAGGGGCTGTGTGTCATTGCTCTAGCTGACAATCCCAGCTGAGACTCCAGCTGCCAGCTTGCATCCATCACTAGATACGTGAGCGAAGACACATTCAGAGGCTTTCGACCCTCAGCCTTAGAGCCTTCCAAGTCAAGGCTTCAGACGTCATGAAGCAGCTCTCCCTTAACAAATGTCATTTGTTAACATTTCCAGCTCTTCCTGCTGTGCCCTGTCCACAGTCCTGACTCAGAATCAGCAAGAACAATAAATTGGTTGTTTTATGTCACTAAGATTTGGGGTAGATTATAACACAGCAAAGAGTATTTTTCACTAGCACACTGACATTATTTACTAACATATCACATTACATGATTGTAAAATAACTTATTTTTAAGTCTATTGTTTATTTCTTGTTTCCCCTGATAGAACACAAGCTTCATGAGGGCATGGATCTTTGTTTTGTTCCCTGTCATATCTAAAATATCTAGAACAGTCCTTGGGAGAAGGAAATATTCTGTAAAAATTTAATGAATGAATCTGTACGTGACTGTACAGCTGAATTGAATTTTAGAAGACACAGCTTGTTATATATCAACTTGTCCAACCCACTCATTTGTATGAAAGAAAATAAAAACTGAGCAGGGTAGGGCAGTGACAGGCCACAGACAGAGCGCACGGTGTGCTGGTTTGGAAGTACGGCTGGAGACCCTGCCCCAGAGGTGCCCTGCCTGATAGGACAGGCAGTCTCTGTGCTCAGAATGGGGGCTCCAGACATCACAGGAGCAACGCCCCGCTACGATCTAGGAAACTGAGCCCATTGTGGAAAGACTCCCCTTGAGTAATGCTTTCCAATTAACCCCCCATTAATCAGAAAATGCTGGTAACTAGAAATTAAGCATTCCAGCTAACTGATTAATATCATTTGAACTAATTGAGGTCAAGGCTAGTCTAGTTAGTGATATTCCCAAATGATGAAACAACACGTATTGTTTTCTTTCTCATTATAAAAGCAGTTCATTTCCACGCCAGAAAGTTTGGGAAAAGCAAACAAACATTGCATCGATGTTAAATTTCTTCACCTTTATCACTGAATTGTGGTTATGGAAGAGTACTATAGTACGAATATTTGTCTATATGATTGCGTCCCCCTAAAATTAGTATGTTGAAACTTAATTCCTCATGTTGATGGTATTAGCTGGTAGGGCCCTTGGAAGGTGCATAGGTCATGAGGGTGGGGCCCTCATGAATGGGAAGAGTGCCCTTTATGTAAGTGACCTATGGCATCTATGAACCGGAAAGGGGGTTCTCACCAGACACTGAATCTGCTGACACCTTGACCTTGGAACTCCCTGCCTCTAGTACTATGAGAAATATATTTTCTGTTGTGTATTAGGAAAAAAAAGTTTGGAGAATGCAAAAAGGTACTTTTATTTATTTATTTTTTTAATCAACCACACAGGGATGGATACTTTTAAGAGATATCAGTCTGGAAGGAAATGCACCAGAGTAGTCAAATGTATTTGTGTTTTTGTTTTCAAATTTTAGATTGCAAGTTCTTAGAACAGTATTTCTCAGGCTTTGACTACTTGTCACCCTTTTTGATAAGTCACATGTCTCCCTTAATGCTATTTGAAACTTTAAAGCAGACTAAGTATCATGACTGACATGTTAAACCATCATGATATTGAATATTACAAACAACATACCCTCTCCTGACATTCACTCAACAAACAGATCTGTGTGGGTGGGCTAAGCGCGCGCGCACAGACACACACACACACACACACACACACGCACCCCATCTCCCACACTCCAAGGGTTGGGACCATTCAGCCGACTCCCTAGGAAATAAGGCCCAGGCATGGGATGCAACGAGACCTTCTCCTTCAACTCTTTTCCTAGCATCCTCCAAAAACTCTGTAGATTGAGCATATGAAAATGCTATTTTTACTTAGACCATTATTCGAAATTAACTGCTGGTTCTCCTGAGCAAGTAATTACTCACATCCATTGACATAAACGCTTTTGCTCTCATAAATGTGTCAAACACGCCCCTTGCCACCGTGTTTTACACCCTCATAAAGTTTTAAGACCAGACAGGCCCTTAGAAATCACCTTATCCAAACTATCCATTCAATGGAAAACAGAATTTTAAAACTCAGGTAACAAAATGATACGCTCAGACCACACAGTTCGCTGTCTTGCAGCCCAGCTGTCAGGACGCCGAGTGTAGTACAATTTCACGGCCTCACAGAGCTTCTGAAATCATTGCTTCGTAGGCTTCTCCTCCAAATATAGTGTGAGAGATGAACTTAGTCTGCATTATCGAGACTCCCAGATGGGTAGGGTCTGAGTCCAGGCCTTTGCACTGCACACAACGAAGCTGCATCTAGCATATTTGGGGCACATGCCGTGTGTGGGGGGAAAAAAGACACCAAAAAACTAGTTCATAAAACTCAGAGCCTGGCACACAGTAGATGCTCCAAAAATATTTTAGGAAGGAAGGAGGAGAGGGAGAGAGGAAAGGGAAAGTGAATAAAAGAACATTTTCAAAGCTGGCTGCAGCTGGACTCCGAGCAGCAGGCGAGGGTGGCAGGGAAGCAAGGTGCTCTTTAGTTCATGGAAATGTCTTAATGAGTTTTCCCTTCAATTTTATTTCACTTTTCGTTTGCAAAAGGTGACCCTATCAGGCAAGGTTTGAAACAAAGAAAGCGAATTTATTATGCCTGGGAAAGGGAGTGTGGGAGGCCTTTTCCTGGCTGCTGGATAAAGGAAAAAAAAAAAAAAGGACACTAAAAAGTTTTGAGGACACTGAAAAGAACCTCGGGGAAGGGCAGCGGGCATGGAGACGTGCGAGGGCCGCTTGTACTCAGGCTCGGACTGCGCTGCGCTGCGAGCCTCCCTCCCATTATCCCACAAGCCTCATGAGCAACTGCTATTCACAAATCCTTTGGGTTAGAGATACTGTGTGGATAAAGAAAGGGGCATCCAATGCAGAGGTGGGGAGACAGTGCAGAGAGAGGGGACAGCAGTCACTGGAGATGTGGTATTGATTTGTAGGGGACTGAGAACACAACAGATATACAGTAATGAGGCAAGAGGGACCAGGAGCAAGCAAGCTGCCCAGAAGCCCTGGCCGGTGAGATTTGCTGGCTTTCCTACAACCTGTGGGGTGGTGGCTTCAGCCATTCTAGCTTCCTGCGGAGGGAGGCTGTGACTCCACAGTGTGGAAACTTCAGTGATAGTGGAGTGATGAAAGGGAGAGAGACAGCAGGGAAGCAGGGAGAGGGAGAAGGAAGTATCAGAATCTTTTAGATGCTGCTTCTCAAATTTAAAGGGTATACAAGTCACCTCAGTCTGGTTACAATGTGGGTAACTGATTCAGTAGGTCTGGGTGGGGCTGGAGGCTGGTGCATTTTCAACAGGTGACGCTGACGCTGCTGGTCCGGGGACTGTACTTTGAGTAGTAAAGCTTTAGCACCCAGAAGCCCCTGCCCCCATCAGGAAGTTTCTATGGAGGCTGGTCCCTTACCTCATATTCCTCCTTGAAGCCGTAGCCCTGGCCTCTCTTCATCTGCGTGATGTGCTGCAGCAGGTCGGCCACCCGGATGGCGGGCTGGAACTGGTCCCGGGGATAGCTCATCTCCATCGGGTCGCAGGCCCGGTAGGGGTGAGTCTGGATCGTGAGGGTGGGCTGGGCCAGCTCTCCGCGGCTGCCATCTGCTTCACAGAGAAGGAGGCAGAACAGACCATCACCTAAGGGAGTTTGTCCTCTGTCCCCCGTGCCTTCCCCAGCTTGGCCTGAGCAGGGCAGAGGGCACTAACTCAGGATTCAACTGCCAAGGAAGCCACAGAAAGAAGAGACACACGCCGCTTCCTTGGCCTGGCTGTGGTGGGAGATTTAAACACTGAAACAACAAACAAGTCCATGAACACATAACCCTCGCTTAGCTCTATTGCGAGGGTGTCTACGGACGGAGCAAAGACTAAGTCCAGGTTGGCTGTCGCCCTCTCCCTATCTCAGTCCTCCCTTGAGGCTCATCAGGGTGGTCTGGGCTAATGCCGCCATTAGCAGAACCACTGAGAAGCCAGACAGGCTAGATGTGGGGGGCGCTCTCCTGTTTAGGAAGTAGGGTGCCTGGAAGAATTGGGTGCCTGCCTGCAGAGGAGGAGAGCCTCAGGGTCCTGGAGGTCAGGGCCATGTAGATGTGTGTGTGCTTCTGGTCCAATTGCTTGCATCCCTGCAACCCGGTGTCTGCACTACTCTGTTCCTGTTGGGTTGTACGCTGGACGGAAGGAACTGAGGTCCCAGCAATAGCAGGGACCCTGACCTCTCAGTTGCTCTCTCCAGCTAGGGGCTCCACAGCAGCGACCACCTTCTGCCCATTGTCCAGCTTCCCCGCCACTTAACACTCTTGATCCAGGAGCTTTACTGAGCCCACCTTGCAGGTAGGGGAGCCTGAACTTCCTCCTGCAGTTCTGCCAGTTACTTCTCCCAGGCCTGGGTCCTACGCCTCATCTCTTTCATAACATCCCTCCCGGATGCAAAAGCAATGTTCCCCCTGATACTAAGCTTTATACTACTGAGTTGCTTTAACTGTGCCCTCTTAGTTTGGCCACCCTGGAAACTAGTACCTGCTGAGGTTGGATTTGAGTTCCTCTTTTTCCCCTGAACCAGTAAAACCTCTTCCTTGTCCCATCCGCTCCCTGCTAGGCTTTCCCTGCTGGTCTTTAAGGGCCGGGGTGTCTTCCCCAGAACCTCTGGGGTTGGTCTGCCCAACGTCCTCCCAAAGATGTGGATAATGCTTGCCCTGGACCTTCTGTCTGCGGCATGTGTGAAATGAGAACGTTAGATTTGATGTGTCTCACCCAGATGTATTCAGGCACAGCCAGGCACCCCTATAGGACCCCTCTAGGCCTATGCCACACCCATCCCCTGGGAGGCTTAACCATGTATTCCTGATTTTCTGCAACCTGTCTTTTCAAAATCCACATCTCCTTCAGCTTGATTGTCTCTCAGTCACAACAATGCATCAGACGTGGATGCTGTATGTGAAGGTGAACATCCCTCCTGTGTGACAGCATGAGAAACACTGTCCCCAGGAGGGAAAGAACTGCCAACAGAAAGATCTAGAGTTCTGAGCTTTATGCACTAGGAAGAAGGACCCTGTTGAGACGCAACCTTCCTGACTGCCCATAAAAACACTGGTTACGTTGTCTCCTGGGATTTTCGGTAATAGGGGACACATTGTCGTCACCGGCATGGCTTAAACATAGCCCTTGGCAAATGTGGGGGCTGTTTCCCTTCTCCGTCGCACCCCTGTGGTCAGGAGTTAGCTTTACCGAAAACCCACTCTGTGCCAGGGACTCTGGAAGGCACTGGCGGTGCACAGAGCAACGCAGACTCCACCCTCAAGCCTGGTGGTCTAGTAGGAAAACGGACAAGAAGAGGAGCTGCTGGAAAGGCCAAGTGCTTTTAGGTGAAAACAAGGACGTTCACAGGGATTGAGGAGCCGGCAAAAATGTGATGGGGGCAGGACTGTAACAGATGGTGTGAGGTTGGTCTAGGAAGGCCGTGAGTCTGCGTCTTCAAGCCAGTGGGAAGCTATCGCAGGGTTTAAGAAGAATCCCTTTCTTCAAAGACTCCCTATTTCTTGTAGGTGTCATGCTGTTCTGTCAGCTGCCATGGACATGAGATGTCCTTCCTGTGAATGTCACTGCTGTGATGGAGGGTGCGGTGGGGTCAGGGGTGGAGGAGAAAGGGGCACTTGAGTTCGCTCCTCTAGATTCTGCACTGCACGACTTCCAGGAGAGGAGGAGCTAGAGCCCTGTGAGTGTCTCCCACCTAAGCCACCATCACCTATGGGGACAGATGTCTTCAAAGATCCATGGTCTCCCCAAGGACTTGAGGCATGGGCTGCCTGGGAGACCAGCTGTCTGGCAGAAACAGGCCTCTTAGGAATGGGCACCTGGCAATTTGTGTGAGACGCCAAGTGTTTCCACAACCAAAGAGCTACCAATATGGATATTTTCCCTAAACACATGGCTAGACAGACTGTAAACTCGGTGTCAGCAAAACCAACACTGGAATGGAAAATAAATGCGTTTGGAACCAAGCGACGTGTATTGCTGTAACATTTGTAATAATGTCAATGCTGGTGCTAATGATGCTGTGAAGACTCGGAACCAAGGGATTTTCAAGGTTTATTAATTCAACTAGTTGGACTCTTTTTTTCTGACATATCTCACCTCACCTATTCCCTTATTAACCTCTGATAATGCAGAAGTGATGCCTTTTATCACACCCCATTTCACCATACGCACTATACTTAATTTTCCATCATTAGGTTTAATGAAAACCCAATTTCACATCTCACTTCTCTCAGGAACCTACAAGTAATGCTACGTTTTTATCAGCCCCAATTAAAAAGCGTTATGATGTTCCTATGCGAGAGGGAGCCTTAAAACTAATGTGTGATTCTGCTGCTAATTCAACAAGGGTGCTGGTAACTCACATGCCGCTCATAAAATGTAACTCAAACCAGCTGGCCCAGGGAGACAACGTTTTTCATTTTTCTCCCCACCAGACCCTTAATTTTCGTGCCATTTCAACCTCTTGTTTATGGGTCTTGCGTGTTTATTTATCACATAATATTTTGGGTTTCGTCTGCACTTTTTCTCAGCTGTTGCCTCAGCCTGGGAATTCCTTTGTTATAACTCTTGTCGCTGCCCGTGAGGGGCTGCTGGGGTGGGCACAGGGGTTTTGGTGACGTGAGTAAGATCCCTGGTCACCATGGTCCTCCTTTCTCTCTTTCTACCAGGTCCTCTTCCTTCTTCCTCAGGAACCTGGCTCTGACCGTCTCTCTTTTTCTTCCCCCGGCTACCAGCCACTGTGGATCCCCCTCTAGCGTCAGCCCCGTATTTCAAACGCCTTGCTAGGACTTGCCACTACAGCTGGTGGACAAATATTTACTGAATACCTACATTGTACAAAGCACGGTGTTAGATACCGTGTATATACCGGAGGGTGGAGGGAAGTGTGTTCAGAGGGAGATAAGCAGGCCACAGCCCTCGCAGGAGGGAAGGAGAGATAAGGTGCGGGGAAACACGTCTAAGGAAGGTGGGGAGGGACCGGTGTCTGGAAGGTGGATGGCAGGATGATGGCCTGCAGAGTTAGGCACCATGGAAACGCCTCCCATGCTTTAGGCGTTCATGCCCCACGTCCGTGGGTTTGACCATAACAATATGTAACCTAATATATCACCTCTGTCCAATTGACCTTTCCACAGTGATAGAAAAGGTCCGTATCTGTGCTGTGCAATAGGGTAGCGCTAACCACACGTGGCCCCTGAGCATGTGGACGGTGACTGATGGGACTGAGGAACTGAATTTTAAACTGTTTCATTTTAATTAATGTAAATGTAAATACCCACATGTGGCTTATGGTTACTGTATCGGGCAGCACAGATCTAGAGAAAGAGAGAGCCAGGGAAGCGAGTGCTCTGGAGTTACGTCACAGGGCAAAGAGGTCGGTAGAAATACACCGCAGGCCACCTACGTCCCTGAAAATTTTCTCATGGCAACATTAAATTTCAAGAATACATTTTATTTAACCCAATACATCAAAATGCTATTTCAACATAGTCAGTATAAAATTATTAACGATGCATTTTACATTCTTTATTCATACTAAGGCTTTGAAATCCAACGTGTATTTTATATTTATAGAGCATTTCAATTCAGACTAACCACAGGTGATTAGTGACTACCATATTGTACAGCACAGGTGTACACAGACTTATCCAGAGCCAGATCAAGTTCTACAGAGAGCTGATTTAGAGCTAGCACAGACTCTAAAAAGACATTGATCTAGTGCAAGACAGCTTTAGCACAGCACTGCCCGAAAGGACTGTGTACGGCTGACAGAGTTCTATATCTGCACTGTTCACTATGGCAGCCACTACCCACATGTGGCTACTGAGCGTTCGAAATGTGGATGGAGGAACCAGATTTTTACTTTAATTTAATTTCAATTAATTTAAGTGTAAATTGCCACATGTGGCTAGTGGATTGAAATGTGCAGGTCTACACAATTATGCCTTCAATTTCTTTTTTTTTAAGTCAACTTTCAGCCTTAAGTGGCGTGGCTCAGTGGATTGAGCACTGGACTGCGAATCAAAGGGTCCTCTGTTCAATTCGCAGTCCGGGCACATGCCTGGGTTGCAGGCCAGGTCCCCAGTAGGGGGCACTTGAGAAGCACCCACACACTGATGTTTCTCTTCCTCTCTTTCTCCCTCACTTTCTCTAAAAAAAAAAAAAAGTAAATAAAATCTTTTAAAAAGTGTTGATTTAAATCGACTTTCAATCATTTTTTTCCTTTATCTCATTATGAATGGTAGTGAAACAAAGTCATGGGTGTGATATGCTAGTTTCATTTTACTGCTCACTGAAATGTTTACCTGACTGTTTAAGAAAAGGCCTGCCCATGTATGAGAGGGAACACAATCCACACCCCGAGAAATGCTCTGAGTCTGGGTCCCAGAATTGGACAGAATGGGGCGGGTATCCTTAATCAACCAGTTATGAGCTTGTGTGACCTTGGCCAAATGACTACTATTTCTCAGCCTCAGTTTCTTCACCTCTAATACAAGGAAAAGGAGCACCGTGAGGACTCAAAAGAGATAACGCATGGTCATGTTATGCAATGCCTGGTATCTGGTAAG